CAGAGAAGCTCATTGGGAAGTCTGGGTCCAGAGGGTAATTTACAGATTGGGGTAAACTGGGCATGTTTTGGGGCCCAAGGAGAGAAGTCATTTGTACAGTGACACCTCAGAGGTGACCTGACTAGGCCAAAGTTCATCTACTCAAATACTGAGGAAACTGACCTTGAAACCCCCGTCAGTCCACTCCTGAGCCCCAATCCTGACTTCCTTTGTAAAGGGGCTTCAAGGTGGTCTGAAGACAAGTGGGAGGGGCCGGTGTTGAGTCAAGAGGCTCAGCTGCAGCTGAGGTGGAGTCCCCGCTTCGTCCCCTCCGGGAGGCCGGGGAAGGCCCCTCTTGCTGTCAGGGTTCTGGCCTGCCTGGCCCCGGCCCTGGCACTTCCTGTGGCTGCCCAAGTAACGGTCGCCTCTGGGGAAATGACGCAGCCTGCTATCAGTGACCCACATTCTTAGAAGAGAACAGGAAGTGGGGGGCGCAGGCTTTTGTGGTGGCGGTGGGTGGGGCCTGGGCCAGCAGCGGGGCACTGACAGGGTGGGGGTGTCTCCTCTCAGAACAGCCCCTCGGCACCTCACACTGGACACCTTTAACCTGTGTTATGAACTCTAACCCACAGCGACTGTAGGACAGAGCAGGGCTGCCCTGCGGGGTTCGCAAGGTGGGGAGTCTTAGGGAAGCATGCTCCCGTATCTCTCTCTCTCGGAATGACTGGTGGAGTCGAACACGTGACCTTATGGTTTACAGCTGAGCACTTGGCCACTGCACCACCAAATTCAACTCAATTCCATGGAGTCAGAACTGACTCAGCTGACCCTTCAACATGGGAGGGCACTGTCCATCTTTCTCCCATGAGCAGCTGGGGTATTCAAACCACCTGCCTTTAGATTAGCAGTGCAACTCCTTCCCTACTAGGCCACCAGAGCGCCCTACTCCGGCGCCAGGCTTCCTTCATACCCATTTTACTGAGGGGTAAACTGAGTTCATAGAGGTTAGTCCACCAGCGCCACAGCCGCGTTCTGACTGCTGCCCTCTGCTGGGAGGACAGGAGAAAGCCGGCAGCTTGGGTAGAGGGCTCCCCTCCACTTTAGGGCCTCTCGGGGTGCCCAGCGTGTGCTTCATGTTCTCGTTACTGTTGTTGTTCCGTTTGGGGCGGCCGCCGAGTATGCCTGGGGTCCGGGGGCCCAGTTCCACCTGGGAACTGAAAGGGGGTGTCCTGGCTGCCCTAGGATCGTGGACGTCGGAGGCCAGAAGTCCGAGCGCAAGAAGTGGATCCACTGCTTTGAGAACGTGATTGCGCTCATCTACCTGGCCTCGCTCAGCGAGTACGACCAGTGTCTGGAGGAGAACAACCAGGAGGTGCGGTGGATGGGGGGCGGGGTCCTCACCCAGGTGGTCCTCACCCCACCCTGCCCCCGCGCTCTGCAGTCAGCTCTGTGTGTGCCAGACACACCCACCACGGTCACTGACATGCACACACTGCTCACTGCACACCCATTCGATCAGACACTCCACACACGGACATGTGTGTGTACAACAGCATTCACATGCTCAATCAGACACCCCAACACACAGACACGTGTACACACACACAACAGCATACACACGCTCAGACACCCCTACACACAGACACGTGTACACACACATAACAGCATACACATGCTCAATCAGACACCCCAACACACAGACACATGTACACACACCTAACAGCATACACATGCTCAGGCACCCCTACACACAGACACGTGTACACACACACAACAGCATACACATGCTCAATCAGACACCACAACACAGACACGTACACACACCTAACAGCATACACACGTTCAATCAGACACCACAACACAGACACGTTCACACACGCACAACAGCATACACACGCTCAGGCACCCCTACACACAGACACGTGTACACACGCACAACAGCATACACATGCTCAATCAGACACCCCAACACACAGACACGTGCACACACGCACAACAGCATACACACGCTCAATCAGACACCCCAACACACAGACACGTGCACACACACATAACAGCATACACACGCTCAGACACCCCAACACAGACATGTGCACACACAACAGCATACACACGTTCAATCAGACACCTCAACACACAGGCACGTACACACAACAGCATACACACATCCAATCAGACACCCCAACACAGAGACACGTGTACACACAACAGCATACACACGTTCAATCAGACACCCCAACACACAGACACATACACACAACTGCATACACACGTTCAATCAGACACGCCAAAACAGACATGTGCACACACACATAACAGCATAAACACGCTCAATCAGACACCCCAACATACAGACACGTACACACACACAACAGCATATACACGTTCAGACACCCCAACACACAGACACATACACACAACAGCATACACACGTTCAATCAGACACCCCAACACACAGGCACGTGTACACACAACAGCATACACACGCTCAATCAGACACCCCAACACACAGACACATACACACAACAGAATTCACATGCCCAATCAGACACCCCAAAACACAGACACGTGCGCACACAATGACACACACGGTCAATCAGATGCCCCAACACAGAAACATGCACTCAGACACACACCAGGATACACACAGACACCCCAACACACAGACATGTGCATAAACACAACAGAGTTCACATGCCCAGACACCCCAACACACAGACATGTGTATACACACAGAGGATACATGCAATCAGACCCAACACACAAACATGAGTGTGCAAAGAACAGGATACACACACTCAATCAGACACCCCAACACGCAGATACATGCACACAAAACAGCATACACACATTCGATCAGACACCCTAACACACAGACACGCACACACACAAGATACACATGTTCAATCAGACACCCCAACACACAGACACATCCGTACACACAACAAGATACACACACTCAGAGACCCCAACACACAGACACGTGCACACACAACAGCATACAGACGTTCAATCAGACACCCCAACACACAGACACGTGTGTGCAAAGAAAAGGATACACATGTTCAATCAGACATGCATGGGTAGATCCATGTACACACATGTAGACTGACCAGATACCCCAGGCACAGGCACACACACATATACACAGTCACACAGTATAGATGTACACACGCTCGTGCACCTGTGTCCAGCCACACATGTGCAGTGTGTGTGCACTCTGACGTGGTTGTGCTTTCCTGCTTGCACTCATACATGCACACGTGTAGCCACACAGGCACACACGTGCACATATGCTCAGCTAGACATCCTGGGTGCACACTCACACACACTGATCAGATACAGGGATACACACCCGGAGACGCCCTCTCTCCAGGACAGCCTGGCCTGTCACAGCTGTCACAGAGTGTCCTCAGTGAGGCTCCGTGCTCACGTGCACACACGCAGACACACTCAAGACCAGAGACACAGTGACACAACCCGGTCAGGCCCTGCATGGCCCCCACTTGAGCCATGCACAATGCTGCAGGGCCCCTCAGAGCCCCACAGGGCCACACACAACGACACAATGCCACACACAACCCCCACAGGGCCACACACAACCCTGCAGGGCCCTACACAGCCCAACAGGGTCACATATAGCCCCTCACAACCCCACATGGACCCTCATGGTGCCCCACAACCCCACAGGGATGCTCACAACCCCACAGGGCCCCATGATAAGTCACAACACTGCACAGCCCCACACAACCTCATAGGGCCACCCATGGTGCTCCACAACCCCACATGGTCCCTCACAAAACCAAAGTTCCCCTCATTGGTGCCCCACAACCCCACACAGCCCCACACAACCCCATAGGGCCCCCCATGGTGCCCCACAACCCTACATGGTCCCTCACAACCCCACAGGATCCCTCATGGCGCCCCACAACACCACACAGCCCCACAGGGCCCTCATGGTGCCCCACATGATCCTCCCCAACCCCACAGGGCCCCCCCCCACGACACTGTACAGTACACAGGCAGCTGCGCTCAGGAAGGCGCCTCTCTGCAGGCGAAGTGTCACCTGGTTCTGAAAGGCTGGGGACGTTCTTCCTGTGTTAGTGTGAACCCTCCGCCCTGCTGGCCCCAGCGTCAGCCGGAAATGTGATTATCTGAGAGAGACTGTGTTCAGAGGTTAAGGCTCCTGCGGTTTGGGGTGAGGATGTCCAGACGTGGTGACTTCTGGTTTCAGACACAATCAGGGTGCATGAATTCTGGACCACTCTGACGTGTGTCCACCGCGGGCCCACATCTCACCACATTATGGGTGCAGGGCAGGGGTAGCCATGTAGACCCAGCCCCGGCTCCACAGGCCCCGCATCCACTCACTGAGCCGACGGGGTGCTCACCACATAGGAATCTCTGAGCCTAGTGGACCACGACCCACTGGGTGCACAAGACACACCTGCATGGGAGAGAAATGCACAGACTCGGGACATTCAGGAAAGACACTCCAACCTCTACCCACAGACCCACCTAAGTGGCCACCCAGACATGCAGACTGAGGGTGGACACTAGGCCAGGCCAGGCCCTGGACACACAGAAACACAGGTCCAGCCCCCTGAGCCCCAGCCGGGAAGGGCCCCTCCCACAGGGCCCAATGTCCGGCTAGGCTGAGCTGGCTGGAGCGCTGGCCTGGTGCCTCCCCCTCCCCAGAACCGCATGAAGGAGAGCCTGGCCTTGTTCGGCACCATCCTGGAGCTGCCCTGGTTCAAAAGCACGTCGGTAATCCTCTTCCTCAACAAGACTGACATTCTGGAGGAGAAGATTCCTACCTCCCACCTGGCCACCTACTTCCCCAGCTTCCAGGGTGAGTGGCTCGAGCCTTTCCACGCTTCACTGCCCACAAGCAGCTGCCCACGGACGTGCATGTCTGAGTCCAGCAGGACGTAGGAGTGGTCGGACCTGAGTTCCAGGCTCATCTCCCTCCTGTGCCCCCCTCCCTCTCCCCCTCCCGCTTTGGTTTTCCCACCTGTAAAATGGGAATAAAACAGCAGACGTCCTCCTTAGGCTGCTCCGTTTCAAGCAGAGAATTGTAATCTCTTGCCTCAGTTTCCCCTCTGCGTTAGTGTTGGATGGCCCGCCTCTGCAGGTCAGGATCCCATTCTCCGTCCCCCTCCAAGTCCGCCCAGAGTCCCAAAGTAGAATGCCATTGGTCAAAGCAGGTGACACTCCCAAACCAGTCATGTTCCCATTGGCTAGGCCCAGTCATGTGACCAGCTTCAATGTCAAAGGGAGGAGTTGACCCACCCACACTAGAGGAGGGGGTGCTGGGGCACTTCCAGCCCTGATGCTGCGTTATGGGAAAGGTGTGTCCTCGCTAGCCCTTCTCCAGTGTCCTTTGTCCCCAGGATCCTGACTTTCTCCTCCTCCTGCACCCCAGGCCCCAAGCAGGACCCGGAGGCAGCCAAGCAGTTCATCTTGGACATGTACACGGACGTGTACGCGGGCTGCGCCGACGAAGATGCCAAAGGCAGCAAGAAGGGCCCGCGCTCGCGCCGCCTCTTCAGTCACTACACGTGCGCCACGGACACGCAGAACATCCGCAAGGTCTTCAAGGACGTGCGGGACTCCGTGCTCGCCCGCTACCTGGACGAGATCAACCTGCTGTGACCCAGGCGCGTCCCGGGGGCGCGGAGCCGCCGGCGGGCAGGGGCGCAAGGAGCCGCCTGCGGGCCTGGGCTGTGCGCACTGGGCCACGCGCTCCTCGGGACCCCCAAGCCCCCAGGCCCTCGGGTCATCCTAGGCCCTGGTGGCAGGACAGCCAGAAGCGAGCGAGTCAGGGGGTGGAAACCTGCTGCCCCCTCTCTGCCTCTCACCCGCCAGTTCTGCGCTCCCGTGACTCGATTTCCCTGCTCCAAAGCAGGGGACCAAAATGACCATTTCAGATGCCAGCGGGTAGGAAGGGGTTAACAAACGAGAGCTCCAGGATTGGAGTGGATGTGTTTCTCACACTTCCGTGATATCACCTCCTGTACTGGGGTCCCTCCTTTGGGGGTCCGTGGGGAGCCTGGTCCTTCTGGCGATGGGGCTCTGGCACCACCTGGCGGGCATTTAGGACAGTACAGGGCCTTCCAGGCACCCCTCCTCCCAGGCCGGGTCAGGGCGCGGCACCTCCCACCCTTCTGTATTTATTCTCACCCTCTGCGGGACTCCTAGCCACATTAAACAAGTGACACTGAAAACATGATTGCTAGGGATTCGGCTGTCAGCGTCCAGTTTCTGACCCTCGCTCGCCTTCCTCGCACGGTCTTTCCCCCAGGATCTGGGGGATGAGGAGGTCGTGACAGAGACCTTGGGAAGAGGGAAGTTCTGCTCGTTATCCGCCCACCTGTGCTGGGAGCAGTGCCTGAGCTCAGCGGGATCGTGCACATTTAGAGCTGGGAGTTGGAGTCCCAGCAGACCCTCTGTTGCCACACAGCCCCACCCAAATCCTAGCAATGGTCACTGCCCAACTTGGATGAGGATAAGGATATTGATGGAGAAGCTGTATTTAATGTGTCCTAGACTCGCATCAGGGTCCGGCCACCCCTGGGCTGCCCCACGGCCTAGGAGCTGTGTCACCCCATCTTACAGATAAGGAAACCAACAGACTCAATAATTTGACCAAAGTCGGTTGCAATTGGATACGCAGAGCCAATATTTCATTCATTCAACATGTTTGAGTTTTAAATATTTAATTTGGTGAAAATATTCACATTTTTAATATATAGAGCTGTTGTTGTGTGCTGTCAGGCCGGCACAGGCCCGTAGCTGCAAGGTTTTCAGAGGCTGCAGTGACATAAAAAGTCCATCTGCTTCGAAGCAGCTGGTAGATTGGAACCTGTGGCCTGATGTTCAGGAGCTGTGCTCCCATCCCAAAGGCGTTCCGTTTGAACCCACCTGCTGTTCAACAGGATGGCCAGTCGTCTCCCACGTTGTTTATCAAGTCAGGTACGACTCACAGCAACGCTGTGAACAGATGTGAACCTGTCCTGTCCTGTGCCGTCCTCGCAATCCCTAGCACTCTCAAACCACTGTGTGGTCACTATGCCAGTCCACCTGCTTGAGGGTCTTCCTCCCCTTTGACATCCCTCTCCTTTTCCAAGAATGATGTCTCTCTGCAAGGAAAAACCTCACCTAGCACCATGCCCAAATAATGTGAGATGAGGCTTTGTCATCTTGGTCTCCACGAAGCACTCTGGCTGCACTTTCTCCGAGATGTATCTGTTCTTTTGGCCGCCCATGGGATATTCTGTAGTGACATCAGGATTGGAGGAAGACTCATTAACAACCTACAATATGCAAATGATACAACCTTGCTTGCTGAAACTGAGGAGGACCTGAAGCACTTGCTGCAAAAGGTCAAGGATTGTAGTCTTTGATATGGATTGAAGCTCAACATCAAGAAGACAGTCTCACCACTGGGCCAATTGGCAGCACTAGATTAGATGGAGAAGTGATTATTGTTAATAACTAGAGCTTGCTCGGATCCACAATCAACACTCTTAGCGCCAGCAATCAGGAAATCAGAAGACAAATTGCATTGGGAAAATCTGCTGTCATGGCTTCTCCAGAGTGCTGAAGAGCAACAACATCAGCCTAGAAACAAAGGTGCACCTAATCCAGACCATGGTCTTCTCAATTACTTGTCATGCTTCAGAGGGTTGGAAAATAACTAAGGATGGCAGAAGAAGAATAGATGTCTTCGAGTTGTGGTGCTCGAGAAGAGTCTTGAACATACCATGGACTGCCAGGAAAACAAGTATGTCTGTCTTGGAGAAGGTAAAACCAAGTCTTTCCTTGGAGACTAGGATTTTGAAGGTCCGCTCACATGCTTTGGGCACGTGACCAGGAGAGATCAGTCCTTGGAGAAGGACATCATGCTCTGAAGGGTGGATGGACAGGGCAGGAGAGGGAGACCCAGGATGAGATGGAGTGATAGTGACTGGGATGATGGGGGTTGGTGTGTCAGAATTAGTGTGACTGGCTCAGGACAACGAAGGGTTCAGAGTTGCTGTACATAGGGTCACTACACATCACCAGAGACTCAATGGCATATAAAAACAATAACATACTATAATAGATTTAGAAGTAGGAGTGGCATCCACTTCCTAAATAACATGCCTCCAAAAACTCTGTGAACTTTGATAAATGTCCATAGTTGAAGAGGGGCTTCAAGCCTTTTGTTCATAGGGTTGCTATGAGTCCTCTACTTGAAAGCAATCAACAACAACAACAACAACTTTTCTAGGGCATCACTTCTGTCATCCTTATTCACTGTCTAGCTCTTATCAGCATAGTAAGTGGTTGAAAAGACTGTGGCCTGAATCAGGTGCACCTTAGTCCTCAAAATGAAATCATTGTTCCTCAATAATTTGGAGTGGACACTGATTATAGATCTTCCCAATGCAATATGTCTCCTGATCACCTGATTGCTGGTACCAAGTGTATTGATTGTGGATCCAAGAAAGATGAAGGGGTCAACAACTATTTCTTCATCTATCATGAGTTGCCAAAGAGTCCAGTGGAAAGGATTTTTGTTTTCTTGACATTGAGATGCAATCTATATTGAAGGCTTCAGTCTTTAACCTTCCACAGCAAGTGCTTCAAGTCCTCTTCACTTTCAGCAAGCAAGGTTGTATCGTCTGCATAATAAAAGTTATTGATGAGTCTTCCTCCAGTCTTGATGCCACATTCTTCAACATCGAGTCCAGCTTCTTGAGTGATTTGCTCAGCATATAGTTTAAATGGGTGTAGAGAAAAGACACACCTGTAGTTTTAAGCCGTCTTCCCTTCCTCTGTTTGCACAACAGTCTCTTGGTCAAGTATAAGTTTCCCACAAACACAATCACGTGTTCTGAGATTCCCACTCTTCTCAAGGTTAAAAGTTTGTTTTGACCCACAGTCAAATGCCTTTGCATAGTTAAGAAAACACAAGTAGACATTTTTCTGGTGTTCTTTGCTTTCAGCCAGGATCCATCTGACATCAGCAATGATATCCCTGGTGCCACAGCCTCTTCTAAATCCTGCTTGAACTTCTGGTAATTCTCTTATCTATCTGCTGTTAAAAACAAGCTACAGCAGTATTTTGCCTGCATGTGATACTAATGATATTGTTCAATCGTTTCCATATTTTATTGGATCATCTTTCTTGGGAATGGGAACAAATCAGGACCTCTTCCAGTCAGTCTGCCAGGCGGCTTTCCTCCAACTTTCCTGATACACACTGTGAGCACATCCAGGGCTGCATCTGTCCATTTGAAACATGTCAACTGATATCCATTGATCCTTGGCGCCTTATTTTTTGCCTTCAATGAAGCTTGAACATGTTCATGATCATTGGCTCTTGATCATATGGTACTTCCTGAAATCTGTCAGTGTTGGCCAATTCTTTTTGGTACAATGACTGTGTATTTCCTTCATCTTATTTTGCTGTTTCCTGGATCAGTCAAGATTTTGTCTGTAGCATCCCTAAATAGTGCAACTTGAGGCTTGAATTTGTATGTCAACAGCCTGCATTATGCATATGACATAACCTTGCTTGCTGAAACTGAAGAGGACATGAGGCATTTGCTGCAGAAGGTCAAGGACTGTAGTCTTCAATATTTATTGTCTCAACATCAAGAAAACAAAGATTCTCACTACTGGGCCTATTGGCAGCTTCATGATGGATGAAAAAGATATTGAGATTGTTGATAAGTTCAGTCTACTTGGTTCCACAATCAACACTCTTGGCACCAGCAGTCAAGAAATCAAAAGACAAATTGCATTGGGGAAGTCTGCTGTCAGGAACCTCTCTAGAGTACTGAAGAGCAACGATGTCAGCCTGGAGACTAAGATGTACTTGCTCCGGACCATAGTCTTCTCAAGTACTTGCTATACATCAGAGAGCTGGACAATAATTAAGGATAATAGAAAAGGATCATGTACACCCATGTTTATTGCAGCTTTGTTCACAATAGCAAAGAGCTGGAAACAACCCAAGTGCCCATCAACAAACAAATGGATAGAGAAGCTGTGGTATATTCACACAGTGGAATACTACGCTGCATTGAAAAACAAAAAACTCATGTAATATTCAAAATGGGTGACCCTGGAGGACATTATGCTGAGCAAAATATCTCAGTCACAAAAGGACAAATACTGCATAGGGCCACTGCTGTAAAATGAGACTGACATCGGGGTTGGGGGAAGCCTGAGAAAGAGAGGATAAATTATGTATACTGTATTGAAACATATGAGGGAGGGATCTGTTTAAAGGGATATATGATTAGGTGGTATTGTCAATACGGGAGTCCAGAATGAAGGCTGCATAGTAGAATGGACTTGGGGGAGGGATTGCATAACAATGAAAGAGTTTCTCTTTTACTTTTCAAAGAGAAGGGCTAACTGGGGGGAGAGGTGGGCAGGGAGAAAAGTGAAACAATGAATGAATGGAAATCCAAAGTCTCTGTAAATTTTCATTAAAATTAATAATAATAATAAATCTTCCAAGGTAAAAAAAAAAGTGTTATTAAGGAGCCTTGTTAAAAAAGAAAGAGAGAGAGAGAGAGAGAGAAAGGAAGGAAGGAAGGAAGGAAGGAAGAAAGATGCCTCTGAGTTGTGCTGGAGAAGAGTATTGAGCATACATGGGCTGCCAAGAGAACCAACAGGTCTGACCTGGAGAGGGTGAAACCAGTTTTCTCGCTGGAGGCAAGGATTTTGAAGCTCCATCTCAGACACTTCGGGCATGTGGCCAGGAGGGGCCAGTCATTGGAGAGGAACATCATGCTTGGAAGGATGGAGAGACAGTGCAGGAGAGGAAGACCCTGGATAACATGGATTGACTCAGTGACTGGAGCAATGGGATTAGGTCTGTCAGAGACAGAGAGATTGGCTCAGGATAGGGCAGGTTTCAGAGGTAATGTACATGTACATAGGGTTGCTATGAGTCACAGGCAATTTGAAGGCATATAACAACAACTAAATATACATTTCATTGTGATAAAATCATAACAAAACAAATCAGAATTGATAGATTATTATGGACTAAACTCCACACCTTGTTCTCAAGATTAACATCCATAGAAGTGGCAGAAATCAAATGAAGTCTTGCACCAGGCAAATTCACCGCTAGGACTTCTCGAAATTGTTAAATAGCAAAGACATCCCCTCTTGAAGAGCAAGGGGCCACCTGATCCAAGCTGTGCCCTTTCCAGTTACCTTATATGCATGGGAAGATGGACAGTGCCGGCGGAAGACAGGGATTTGCTGCCTTTGCAATGTGGTGATGGCAAAGAATACAGAATATACCATGGATTACCGAAAGACAGGCAAATCTCTTGTGAAAGAAATGCAGCCAGCATGCTTCTTAGCAAGCAAGGGTGGTGAAATTTTGTTTAACTTCATTTGAATGTAGTTTTTTGTGTGGTTTTTTTTCTTCCCCTAAGAAGACCCTGGTTCCTAATAATATCAATGTAGCATCTTTTCTCAAAACCCACAACACACATAATAGTTTCCTAATTGTTGCACCTAAAACTCTTGCAACAAAAAAAACCTAGGTAATAAAGTGCTCGCTTTCTTTGATCTCTTCTCATCTGGGCCTCAGCACTGAGTTTGAAAGTGTCTTGGTGCACTCCCTCCACCCCCTCTTTAGGTGTGGTTTCGGGTTCACTTGAAATACAATTGAGCCCGTTTGTTTTCTACTTCATCTTTAAGCATTCCACCCCTGCACCCAGCCTTGCTGAAAATTGTGTGGTTTTACGTGTAGAACACATCTGCAAAGTGTTTCAAAATGAGGTTTCTTTTGTGAGTTGCTGTCAAGGCAATCTCTGCTCAAGAGGACCCCCTTTGTTCAGCGTTCCAACAGGATTTCTAGGCTGTGATCTCTATGGAAGCAGATAGCCAGGCCTTTCTTTCGTGGGACTCATGGGTGGGTTTGAACTGCCAGCCTTCTAGCTAGTAGTCAAGCACTCACTGAACCCTTCGTGCTGCTTAAGGACTCATTTGAAATCTACTTAAAGACTACACCATTCATTCACTAAAGCATTCTCTCCTCTTTTCGGTGTCAGTCTCACCGACTCACTAGTTCCTGGTGGGTAGTTGTGGATGTGTTCTAAAGAAATAGGCAGGCATCTTTTTGTTTTGTTTATTAAACAGAAACTGTCACACTGCATACGTTCTTTTGCACTTTACCTCTTAATCTCTGGTTCAGGAAATCACTCCCTTCTGTGGTCGGAGCCGACCTCTTCCTTTTTCACAGCTGCGAAGTACTCCACTGCAGACTCAAGCGCTGTCACCCAGACACTTCCCCGGGTCCAGGTGTCTGAGCAGCTTCTGTTATCTTGCTATTGCAAACTACTTGTCCATGAGCAATCCTCTGCATCTGCATCTTGCTAGAGCTGTGTCTCTGAGGCAGATGCCTCGAAGGAGAATTGCTCTTCGTAACAGGCAGATGACTGTAGAATTGAGTGAGACCCAATCAGGTGCTGACTAATGGTTAGTGGTTCGAATCCACTTAATTTTACAGGCTAAAAGGCTGGCAACAGGCTTCTGTAAACATGGTGGCTGAGGAAACCCTGTGGAGCCAGCCAGCCAGCCAGCCACATGGAGTGCCATGAGATGAAAGCAACCCCGCAGCACCTACCAAGAACAAATGTGTGTAAAGCGATTGGCTGCTCAGGGGGAAGAGTCTCACCTTCCACACGAGAGGCCTCGGCTTGAGTCCCGGGCAGCACGCTTCATGGGCAGCCACTGCTCAGCCACTGTCAGGAGGCCGGACAGATTTCAGGGGGGCCTCCAGACTAAGATGGACTAGGAAGAAAGGCCTGGCGACCAATTTCCAAAAATGAGCCAGTGAAAATGCTGTGGATCACCTCAGTCCCATCCCTCACCGGTCATGGTAATGGCCGTGTACGTAGGACAAAGGCAGCGGCCTGTGTGAGGTGTGAAACGTGTGGGCCGTGCCCGGGGCACCCCTCCAAAGGCCCCACTGTTTCCATGAGGATGGTCATGACCGTCACCAGCTATAAGAGATCATCCGGGAAGTTCACATCGACCTGCCGTCGGTCGAGAGGAGCCTGGTGGTGCCATGAATGGTGCCTGGTGGTGTCATGGAGAGGTGTCTGGTGGTGCATTAGGCTGCTAGTTCAAATCCACCAGCCGCTCTTTGTGAGAAAGACTCCAGTCTTGGAAACCCTGTGGGCAGTCCTGGTCCAGCCTGCAAGTCACTGGGAAGGGACCGCGCGGTGGTGGAGCTGGGGTCGCCCAGTGGCCTTGCTCCGCTGCGTGTAGAAGGAACGGACTGAGCGCAGACCGGCCCGCCTGCCTCAGTGACACAAAGCTGGACAGCTGGACAGCGGTGCTGGACAGCGGCGCTGGCCAGGCCGTCATGCATGCGCGGCAGGAGCTCTGGCCTGGGCCGGGCATGCAAGCTCCTGGGGCGCTCCGGGCTCAGAGTTCCGGGAGCCCAATGCCCGGCGGGCGGGCAGGGATGGGGAAGGCAGGCGCAGTAGGGGCACTGCCATTTCCACGTGGTGCCTAGGATGCTTGGCCTGAAGCCTCTGGGTGTCCGTGTGTGGACAGGGCACAGGGTGCTTGCCAGGGCCCCACTCCACCTTCCATGACAGTGTGAGCTCCCCCACTTTCCCATCTTGTGGTGCCTTCATCCTAGTGTGCTGTCTGGGACAGGCCTGGGGCCTCCATAGGGGCTGGGCCTTAGGACTGTTGTGCCTTAGCTGGGTCAGGGCCTGAACAGGACCGAGGGTCATCCTGACCTTGGGGTTCAGTGCAGGTCAGCTCAGTGCCCCTGAGGACACATGTACGAGTCTCTTGAGACACCTGTGCTGTTCATGAGACCCTCCCATGGATATCTGTGCCTGCAGGACACACCTGCACCCTGTGATACTCCCGGATCCCATGACATATCTGCACCCCTTGACACATCTGTGCCCCCGAGACACCTGTACCTCACCTGTGCCCCCATGGGCTACCTGTGCCTTTTAGGGGGCACGTGGCACCCTCACCTCCTCCACATACCAAAGGCCCCACGGTGTCAGGAAGGCTGTGGACCAAATGGCCTTGGGGTGGGGGAAGGGCCTGGTAGAGGAAGGCACCTTCATGGGGGCTGGGGGGACAGGCAGGGCACCCCATGGTCATGCTCACCCTCTTGAAATGTCCCGTTTCCACCCCTCCCCAAGGAATTACTCTTCCAGGCTTCTGTCAGAAGGGGAGCAGGGCCACAGCAAAGTGGAGGTGCAGCCTGGGCGGGCGGAGACATCGCCCCAGGTAACTCCCACCTCCGTCTCTGCCCCCCTGTGCTTTCGAGGACCGGAAGGGGCCGGGCAAGGCGGGGGTCTGGCAAAGGGACAGATCCACAGACAGCCTACCGACCAACCGACCGTTGGTGCTGCTCCCCGCCGGGCCTCCCCGCAGCCCTGGGGGTACCTTGAACATAACAGGAAATTTCAAATAACAGGAAACAGCCGGGCAAGGCGGCAGCCCCACCCTGCCCTGCCCGCCGCCCCAGGCCTCCTCAGTCTGCCCCGGGCCCGCTATGAATGCCACCGGGGCCCCGGCACTGGCCCCCGAGTCCTGCCAGCACCTGGTCGCCGAGGACCACAGTCGCCTCATCCTCCTGCATTACAACCACTCGGGGCGCCTGGCCTGGCGCCGGGGCCCCGAGGACGGCGGGCTGGCCCCGCTGCTGGGCCTCTTCGTGGCTGTGAGCTGCCTGGTGGTCCTGGAAAACCTCCTGGTGCTGGCCGCCATCACCACGCGCATGCGGTCGCGGCGCTGGGTCTTCTACTGCCTGGTCAACATCGCGCTCAGCGACCTGCTCACCGGCGTGGCCTACCTGGCCAACGTGCTGCTGTCGGGCGCTCGCACCTTCCGCCTGGCGCCCTCGCAGTGGTTCGTGCGCGAAGGCCTGCTCTTCATGGCGCTGGCCGCGTCCACCTTCAGCCTGCTCTTCACAGCCGTCGAGCGCTTCACCACCATGGTGCGCCCGGTGGCCGAGCGGCGCGCCACCAAGAGGGTGCGCGTGTGCGGCCTCATGGGGCTGTGCTGGCTGCTGGCCGCGCTGCTGGGGCTGCTGCCGCTGCTCGGCTGGAACTGCGCGTGCCGCTTCCCGCGCTGCTCCAGCCTCCTCCCGCTCTACGCGCGCGAGTACATCCTCTTCTGCGTGGTGGTCTTCGCGCTCATCCTCGCCTGCATCCTGGTGCTCTACGGCGCCATCTTCCGGGTGGTGCGCCTCAGCGGGCGCCAGGGGCCCCGCGCGCAACGCCTGCTGCGCACGGTGCTCATGATCCTGGCCGCCTTCGTGGTGTGCTGGGGGCCGCTCTTCGGTCTGCTGCTGGCCGACGTCTTCGGCTCCACCGTGTGGGCGCAGGAGTACCTGCGGGGCATGGACTGGATCCTGACCCTGGCCGTGCTCAACTCGGCCGTGAACCCGCTCATCTACTCGTTCCGCAGCCGCGAGGTGTGCCGCGCCGTGCTCGGCTTCCTGTGCGGCGCCTGCCTGCGCCTGGGCATCCGCGGGCCCGGGGACTGCCTGGCGCGCGCCGCCGAGGCGCACTCGGGCGCCTCCACCACCGACAGCTCGCTGCGGCCCAGGGACAGCTTCCGGGGCTCCCGCTCGCTGAGCTTCCGCATGCGGGAGCCCCTGTCCAGCATCTCCAGTGTCAGGAGCAACTGAGCATGGAGCTCCAGCCAGCACGGACGCCAGGCCTGCACCCACACTGTGCCCCTGTGCTGGGGCCAGGCCTGCACCCACACCATGCCCCTCTGCTGGGCAGAAGATGGCCCAGGGGGACGCGTGAGAGAAGGGGTCAGCTGAGACCCTGCAGCCTTCCGAGGACCTGCTGCTAAGCCGACTTCCAGAAGTTTCCAAACATTTCTGGAAGTTTCCCTGGTGGAGGGACTGTCTCTTGGCGTAAGGAGCGCTGTGGAGAGGCTACTGGGTTTACCTACATTCTGGCTCCTATGTGATTCTGGGGAGCCTTCACTCGGATTTGAGAGCCAGCTCTGTGGGTATGAATCCCTGTCAACAAAGACGTTCAATAACGGTCCAGGATGTCACCGCCTCTCTCTTCTTCCGTGTGTGCGGGGCGGTGGGTCCAGAAGGTGTGTGCTAACCGAGGGTGCGCTTTGCCGGGAGAGTGGGGGCCTGAGTGCTGCAGGGCTCTGCTGTGAGGGGAGGAGTAGAGGCGTGTGAGTACGTGTGTGGTGGCACCCTCCGTGTGTGTGTGTGTTTGGATGCCTTCTCTCTGTGTGAATGTGTAAGGGGTTCCCTTCTTGTATTAGGCTGGGAGGAGGGTGAGAGGGAGGGCATCCTGACCTCTCTGGGGCCCCTAGTGTGTCTCTGTGTGCCTGTGCTGTGTTCTGAATGTGTCTGTGCTCTGAGTGCAACATAATTTGTGAAAATATAAGACATTTCTCTCTGTGTGTGCAGACACTGTCATTTCTTGCTCCCAGGGTGTGTGTGTGTGCCCTGTTCAAAGTTTTGCACGTGTATGCATATATGTATACGAGTTCATGCCTGCATCTCTGTACGCGTGGGCCTTGCAGGTGCATGTATGAGGCAGGGTGTGTGTGTGTGTGTGTGTGTGTGTGTGTGAACGTGCATGTGTTTGTATGTGTTTTGACACCTCTCTGACCGTAAGTGTGTGACGAGTGTGGCTGGCCATTGCGAGACTTCCCACGCCCGCCTCTTCTCGCTCACTTCCCCTTCTTGCTCTCAGGCCAGGGCCTGAAGACTCCTCCCCATGCCCCAGGACCCTGACTTCATCCTGCAGCTTCTAACACACTGAAGCTCTGGCCTCTGGTCCCCCTGGGGCTTGATCTGGGGACCTCGCTCTCGGGACCAGCAGGGGTGGCCTGGCCTGGCCTGGGCACTTGCCCACCCCTCTTCCCTCTGAACTACCTACCTTGCCTTTCTTTACTTATCTGTGAAATGGGCTGAGGGGAGGACGGCAGCCAAGGCTCACGCCCCTTGTCAGGGTTCTGAGGCATGGAGATGGTCTCCGTCCGCTCTGTCTAGGATGGCCCCAGCCTGTGTTTGTGTCTGTCTGTGTGTCTGCAGAGGAGCTGAACTGGATGCAGTTTTACAGTTAAACATCCCTGTAGTGTTGTTGGGTGTCAGACAATTGCTTGTGACCACAGCGACCCCATGTGATAGGGCAGAACCACCTGGGTCTCCCAGGCTGTCATCTTTAGGACAGTGGATTGCCAGGTCTTTCCCTGGCATAGCAGCTAGGTGGGGTTCAAACTGCCAACCTTTTGGTGAGCAACCAGTTAAACACTTAACTGTTGTGCCATGAGGGCGCTTGCCCCCAGGGGGCTGCCCCCATATTGAACGGGGCGGATATAGACTGTGAAACCATGGACACTTATTTACCCTGCCGCTGTGGCATCAGTTCCAACTCTCAGGACTCCCCAGGACAAGGGAGAGCAGCCCCGGCCAGCTTGTGAGGCTATAAGCCCTTACAGAAGCCGACCGCCTCATCTTCCTCTGGAGGAACAGCCGGTGGCTTCGAACCACCATCCTTTTGGTTAGCAGCCCATTGCTCTAGTCACTGCACCACCAGGTTAGTTGGTAGAATGTTCTTACACGCTCCCCCATCCAAGACCAAGCCAGTCCTTAAAGGAAGACCTCCCACCTGGCCCCACTGTCTTCAATTTCTACAGCTTTCTTCACCCGGAACCCTAATCTGGATTGTGCGTGGAGTCACGAGAGTGTCGGGTGGGATTTAGGGTCACACAGACCTACATCCCAGGCTCAGCTCCTTCTACTGCCCTCCTCTAGGAAGGCAGGTGGAGGCCGTAGGAGGACAGCCAAGGGCTGAGTGATTAGCTAAGAGTCCTCTGTCCACACCCACTCCAGGTGCCTCCAAAGAGAGGCCTGGCAATCTGCTTCCAGGAGGCCCACCCATACGGGGCTCCCGGGAGTCAGAACTGACCGGCAGGAAGCTGGCCGCCACCTCAAAGCTGGGCTAGGCTAGCGGGAGTTGGCCCATAATCTTCACCTTCCGTGAAGATTAAAGTGGGACCTTCTCCAACCATCTTCTGGGCTGTTGTCAGGAGACCAGACCTCAGAGAAGAAGGACTTCATTCCAGGAAAAGCAGGGTCTGCGGAGGAGCGGAAGGCCCTCAACGAGATGAACTGACCCAGCGGCCGCCACATGACAGGGATGTGAGGACCATGCTCAGATCTGCTCTGCCCGGGATCACTGTGAGTCACGGTCAACCTGATGGCACTTAAGAGCAGGGACATCTCTCGTGTCACACAGCTTACGTGTCCTCTGTCTGCTGGCCAACCTGAGGGTAGGGCTGTCTTTGCTCACTTCCAGCAGTGCACAGGCTTTGTTGAGTCACTTGAACATTCATGTGATCTGCGTGGACGTGCACAGAGCGCCGTGTTAACGTGTCCACATTGTGTTTCATGACCTTGACTGTGACCCCCATGCTGTAACAGCACTCTCCCCTCTCCTTCCCTGTGTTTCCTATTTCCCTTCATCCTTTCCTGTCCCTTCCTACCTTTTGTGCTTTGACCTTGGGCACGTGCCGCCCTTTTGTCTGTGTGGTTGGTTATTGTACTGAGTGTGTCCCCCGCACCCCCAGGTCTTATGGACTGTCTCACAGTCTGGTCTGCTGTTTGGCTGACAGCTGAGTTGGTGGTGAGCTTGGTTCCAGGTTTAAAAGGTGACCGAGGGCTGTAGTCCTGGGGGTTCTGTCAGTTTTTCTCAGACCAGTAAGCCTTGTCTTTTTTCCATGATTTTGAGCTTTGCTCCACTGTTTCGTGCACTCCTACCAGAGACCTTCTGTTGTGGGCCCTTTCAGCAGCCGTGGTGGGTGGGGCACCACCTAGTTCTTCTGGTCTCAGAGCCGTGCCAGCCAAAGTTTATATTGTGCACTGGTCCTTTGGACAAACGCTCTTTTCCTTTCTTCTTTCTTCTGTGTTCCCAGCGCGGAGAGGCCGACAGTTGCACTCTCAGCAGCCCCTTGCAGGCTTGTCTGACCCCGGTGCTGTTCACCACAGTAGGATGTAGAAGTCTCCTTTATCGTTCATGCGTGGCTTTAACAAAGACATGAGTTCTTACCGCTCTGGGGGCTGGGAGTCCACAGGGAGACAGCTCCAGGGAGGACCCCCTCCCCACGGCGCTTCTGGGGGAAGGGGCTGGTCTCCATCTGCATCTGTGGGCAGGCGTTCCTGGGAGAGCTGCCTGGGTCCTGGCCTTTCCTGGGGCCTGTGGACAGTAGTTACGTGTGAGAGGCCACAGGGTGGCACAAATGGCTGCGTACTCACCGCTTAGCCAAAGGCAGGGGTTCACATCCACCCAGAGGTACAGGGGAAGATGGGCTTGAAGGCCACAGCCTTGGAGATCCCTGTGGCGCCCAGCGCTGCTTGGACACACAGGGGGCGGCCTGAGCCGAGGTTCTCTCGATGGGGTTTAGTCACATGCAGCTATTTTAATGAAAATGAAGCATAATGAAACAAAGAAACCAGTTCATCCCCGGGTCCCACGTTTCCAGGGCTCGGGAGCTCTGTCTTGGCCAGCGCCTCTTGAAAGTTCCTGTCTTGGTGATTCTAACGGCCAGGGCTGGCCCAGGAGTCCCCACACTGTAGAATGGGGATGAGTCTAATGCAAGAATGGTTCCCCATGGTGGACAGTGTTTGGTGGGGCTCCTAGATTCAAACAAGCATGGAAGCAGGAGTGGCATCCGCTTCTGTAACAGCTTGTCTCCAGAAACCCTTTGAACCTGAAGAGAGGACGAAAGTTATACAGGTGTCCAGGTCTTTCATTCATAGGGTCGCTATGAGTCGCCTACGACTGGACGGCACTTACAGCAACAGAATGGGGATGTCCGTGGGCTGCGCTCCTGGGTGGCCGTGCGGAGCTGGTGCTGGGCCAGGGCCACTGGAGCGGGCGTGTGTGTCAGGATAGGAACACCCTCAGGCCCTTGGGTGCACACGCTGCCCGCGGAGGCGCCTGGGCGCTCCTGGGTTAGCCCAGCGGTGCTGTTAGTGGTGAATTCTGCCCCTAAAGACAGAGATTGGCATCCTCATCCCTGGTCCCTAAGAACGTGACCTTGTTGGAAACAGGGCATCTGCAGGGGTGCCAGGTACGCTCACCACCTGCAGGGAGGTACACTCACCCGGAGGGGTGCCAGGTACGCTCACCACCTGCAGGGAGGTACACTCACC